GTTTTACCAGGCACTCAACCATTGCCCCTAGTTTATAGAATTTATTATAAAGTCACAGGAACTAATATGAATTTTCAAGCTCTTAATAAAAGTCCAAAAGATCAAACTCTGTTAATTCAAAGTAGCAAACCCGAGGCCAATATACGAGTCCTTCACACAATTAAATGGTGAGACGTCACCCTTCCTCTAGATTGGACACTCACCACTGAGAATCAGCCTGCCCCAATTCAACATAGTCTAAATAATTTAGATTATATTCAACAATATTTGGACGGCATAGTTAAAATTAACTTTGGTAATCAACCACCACAAAAATCTATAGTCCAGTTACACCAGTTGCCCACACCTGGTCAATCCCAGAGACATATCCCTGCTAGACATTCATTCGCAGCTTCTTCTTCCACTCTAGAACGAGACCTAGTGTTAGAAAAAGCAATGATAGATTTTAAATTAGAATCTTTACGAAAAACTTCCCAGGTCAGTCATCCTTGCTACAATAAGCAACCAGCCAAAGAAGAAAAATTTGAATCCGCTGAATCACCCACACAAACTGATTTTGAGACAGATCTCTACCCAGTTGTTGTAGATAATCAATTAAGAACCCTTAATAGGAAATTCAAAATTAATTGGAAAAGATTAGAAAGTCATCTTCAAGCTCCTGAGAATCAAGACAGGCGAAATAGCTACCACACAGCCTACCCTAGTCGTGAAAAAAGACAGCAAATCTTTAATGAATGGAAAGATTATATGGTCAGCCAAGTTACAAATTTTTTACTTAGATTTTGCTGAAAGTCGTTATATGCCAAATGAGTTAAAAACTTTAACCCAAGAAAAATGGAAAAAAGTAGACAACATTGAAGTCATATCTAGTCATCCCCCAGTAGAAACAATAGTTATCAATCATAGAAAAACCAAAATAATTGCCAGTCCCTTTAAATTCCCAGAAGCTAATGATGATAAATTAGTAATTGAGCAAAATAATTATACGAATCAAAGTCTAATAGTTATTGGGAACCAATTAGATAAAATAGAAACTAAAGTAGACAAACTCCTCCCTGAGTCAAGCTCTATGCCTTTGAAAGAAAAACCCTTAGTTAAATTTCAAGATTTACAGTTGCATCCTACCCTTTAGACAAAACCTACCATGAAAAAAATAGAAGAAATGCTTGAGCAGTTAACCCCGGTTAAAACTGAGAAATCTGGTCTTAAAGTTCTAGGATCTAATGCAGCTTTAGTCACCCTTTCCGACACTGAGTCAGTTGATAGTATGGAAATTGAAGAATCTAGTAATATTTCAAAAATTGAAAATGCATTTAAAAATTTGGAATTAGATTCGGAGTTAAAGGTTAAACGGTTAACAAACAGAGTCAACGCCACTAGTTTAACTAAGAACTGGTATCCTAAGACAACACCCTTAGATATCCAGTTTGAAGAAAGGAATAATTTCAGTCAATTTTCAGTCTCTTATGATAAGTTGTATGAATGGAATATAGACAGTCTGTCAGAACAAGAAATAATGAATAAGTTAACCCATATGTCCATGGTTGCCAATAGTTATATCACTAATCACAGTTTTAGACAGTCTGAAATTGTGCCTTTAATAGAAACAGGTTTCACCGGAACCTTATGTTCTTGGTGGGATAAACACTTAAGTGATGAGTCTAGATCAAATATAATCCATGCAGTCAAGCTTAATGAAGAAGGTCTTCCTTTATTTGATGAGAATTTAGGACAAGGTATAGAAGATGGAGTTAATACTCTGCTTTACACAATAGTTGATCATTTCATAGGAACACCCAGTCATACACAAGCCAGAATCCATCATAAGCTTAGTAATTTAAGATGCCTGCAATTAAGTGATTTTAGATGGTATAAAGATGTTTTTATTTCAAGAGTCATGCTAAGAGAAGATAGTAATCAAGCCTTCTGGAAAGAAAAATTCATTAATGGCCTTCCCAATTTATTTACCGATAAAATTTGTACAGTCTTAAAGTAATGAGCACGGTCAAATAGATTATGATGGTTTAACCTATGGTAACATAATTAGTACCATTAATCAAGAAGGTATGAAAATGTGTATTGATATGAAAATTAGTAAACAATTACTGTCTGAGAAAGAGTATGCCAAATATGAATTAGGAAATTTCTGCGAACAATACGGTTTAGTTGCCACTCCTCCTTCAAGAAAAAACAAGCCTAGTTACCACAACCGACAGTTTAGTAAAAGTCATCATTATTCACGTAAGAAACAATAATTCCAACACAATAATGAAAATAATGAATTTTATAGTAAAAAGAGATTTCACTCGCGCGTAAGAATTGGTCAAAAGCACCGAAAACTAGTAAGAATAATAACTTTAAGAAAAGTTCCGACAAAAGAAAAGTTAAATGTTATAAATGTCAAAAGTATGGTCACTATGCTAATGAGTGTAAGGTAAAAGACACGATTAAACAATTGAAAATCACGGATGAGGAAAAAGACGAATTGATTAAAGTTTTAGAATTACGTAATTATGAGTTAGATACAGCCGACACTTTAGTTACCAGCCTTGAGTCAGGTAACTATAGTTCCTCAGATTCCCAGTTGAGTTCACCTAGAATCCAATTAGGTTGTAAAGATAAATGCTGTAATAGACTAAAATCAATTAGTGTTCTTACTAAACAGGAAGACCAAGAAGAATTGTTAATTGATTTAATTAGCAAAGTTGAAAACCTAGAGTTGAAATCTAAACATTTGAAAAAGTTAAGAAAAGTCATTAGTCAAGAAGACACAAGTCACCCAAATCCTCAAAAGATAAGTCTGAATGATACCTTAGACAGGTTTAATAAGAGAAAAGAAGTCACCTTACAAGACTTGCAATTAGAAATAAAAATTGTCAAAAGGAAATAGTTGAGTTAAAACAATTAAGTCAAAAATTACAAACTGAGAATTATGAGATTAAGCAGAGCTTAATTACTTTAATAGAAAAAGAAGCCTTTGAGTCAAATAGTCAAACAGAGAGTCCAACCAATTCTGACAATGAATCTCCCCACAGTAACCAAGCCATTAATTTAATTAAACAAGTAAGCTTTAGAAAATGGTATTCTAAAGTTACTATATTTGTCAAAAATTTTGAATTTAACACAGTTGCGTTATTTGATTAAGGAGATGATCTTAATTGTATTCAAGAAGGATTAATTCCTACAAAATATTATAAGAAATCAAAAGAGTCATTAAGTACAGACTCAGGAAAGTCGCTTCAGTTGAATTATGAAATCCCTAAAGCCCATGTATGTCAAAACAAAATCTGTTTTAAAACTTCGTTCATCCTAGTTAAGAATATTATTGATGAAGTTATTCGGTACCCATTTCAAGTTGAATATGATGGTGTTATATCCGGTCATTTAGGAGAAAAAGTCAAATTTGAGTTCTTAACTAAACCTGAGTTGCACAATCTGAAAGCCTTACAGAGACATGCAGTTACTAAAACAATCAAGCTAATTCAAAATAAAGATAAGCAATTAGATTTCCTTAAAGAAGAAGTTCATTTCAAAAGAATTGAGCAACAATTAAGTAATGAGTCTTTACAGTCACAAATCCAGAAATTTGAAGAAAAATTAAAGCATGAAGTCTGTTCTGAGTTACCCAATGCTTTTTGGCATAGGAAACAGCATGTTGTCAGTCTCCCTTATGTCAAATCCTTTAGTGAGAAAAATATCCCCACTAAAGCTAGACCAATACAGATGAGTCAAGAAATAATGGAATTTTGTAAAACAAAAATTACAGAGTTGTTTCAGAAAGGAATAATTCGTAAGAGCAAGTCGCCCTGGTCCTGCCCAGCCTTCTATGTTCAGAAAAGTACTGAATTAGAAAGAGGAGCCCCTAGATTAGTCATTAATTACAAACAGCTTAATACAGTATTAGATACCCTATTCCTAATAAAAGAGATTTAATTAACTGATTAGGAAATGTAGTCGTCTTTTCTAAATTTGATATGAAAAGTGGTTTTTGGCAAATACAGATCTAAGAGTCGGATATGTACAAAACTGCCTTTGTTACCCCCCTTTGGTCATTATGAGTGGAATGTAATGCCCTTTGGTCTAAAAAATGCGCCCAGTGAGTTTCAGAATATAATGAATGAGATCTTTAATCCTTTTAGTCATTTTTCAATTGTCTATATTGATGATATTCTTATCTTTTCCCAATCGATAGAACAACATTGGAAACATTTGCATAAGTTTCTTCAGATTGTTAAGCAAAATGGTTTAGTTGTCTCTGCTAAGAAAATTGAGCTATTTCAAACTAATATTCATTCCTTGGCTTCAATATCTGCCAGTTACAGATTAGCCCAATTAATCAAGTCATTCAGTTTGCTGATAAATTCCCTGATCAAATTCTTGAAAAAGTAAGTTGCAAAGGTTTTTAGGATCCCTCAATTATGTTTCTGATTTTCATCAAAATCTGAGAAAACAATGCAAGCCTTTATTTGACAGGTTGCAAAGTAATCGTCCTCCTTGGTCTTCAGTTCATACCGAATTGTCAAACAAATCAAAGTCCATGTTAAGACACTTCCCTGTCTTGGTATCCCTTCAGTTAATTCTTTCAAAATAGTTGAAAATGATGCCTCTGAAACATGTTATGGAGGTATTCTCAAACAAAAAGTCAATCCAAATCAACCAAAACAAATTATTCGTTTCCATTCTGGCATTTGGACTCAGTCACACTCTAATTATAGTACTATTACACAAGATATTATCTACTGTATTATGCATTACTAAGTTTCAAGATGATTTATTAAATCAAAAGTTTTTAGTCAGAGTCGATTGTAAGTCTGCTAAGCATGTTTTAGAAAAACATGTTCAAAACATTGCATCTAAACAAATTTTTGCCCGATGGCAAGCTATTTTGAGTATATTTGATTTTGACATTGAATATTTGAGAGGAAGTGAGAATTCTATTTGAGAGGAAGTGAGAATTCTATTCTTGATTTCCTTACTAGAGAATTTCTGCAGGATAAGCAATGGCCAGCAGAAAAGATAAAGGAAAAGCACTAGCCAGTCCATCACAGTCATTCCAGTCGTTCAGAGTCCTCCCTCCATCCATGAACCCACTCAAATCAGAGTCGCCTTCTCAAATCGTCCCCTTCCCGGGATGCTCACCAATCCAAGTCAGCAATCGTTTCTCTAGTCTAGGGACCACAGTAGGTCAAGTCCGCCCCAATTACCAGTCTGCCTTAGTTTCCAGTTATTATCCTTTCCAGATCAAAACCCAAGTTGCCCAGTCGCCAATTCCACTTCAAAAGATACTCCTTATTTCCCAAAAGATACTACCCATCTTTTCATAATTGAGTCTGTTTTTGAAAATATTACTGATCCAGTTGAACTAGCAAAACAATATTTTCCCCCAAATTGCCACTTCATGCCCCAATGTCCTTACAAATCCCTCAATTTTTATAGGGACATCCCCATTGAAACCCAATCAGTCGAAATTAAGCCCATTAGAGATCGTGAGAAACCTCACATCATCCTCTACCACTCTCTTTACATCCACAGGATCCTAAGTCAAGAAGAATTCAGTCGCCATCCTTATGATTTGAAATCACTCCAGTCGACTCTTGAGTTCAACTATGTTGATTATATTGAAGCATGGTACACAATTTTCCTCCACCAAACAATTGACTTTAGTCACTCTTGGTTCATTAATTTTGATAGCAAATTCAAGAGCCCATTTCCTTATTGGTTCCTTCACTGGTGGGAAAAACATGGCCCAGTCGCAGACATTCTTCCCACCCAAATCCATAATTTAACTAATTATTTCTCCATAAATATAAGTTCAAAAATACATAATTGTTTTTCCCTAAGTTACTCCTTTTCATTCCCAGATACAAAGTCCCCTAGATATTGAAATGGAATTGTCATGTTAATCGAAAGTCCAGAGTCTTCTCTCGCCAATTTTCAGTCAAATTGTGGGATAGATTTCAAGTTGATAGAATTGCAGATTATGTTTACAGGGATTTCCCTTCAGTTGCAGTGCTCCCAAAACCTAAGCCCACTTCTCCCTATGGTTCTTCCCATTCTTCTCTCTCAACCGAGGGAAAATCAAAATCTGAATTACAGGAAATTGCCAGAAAATTGATTATTCAAGCCTCGCAAATGGAGGATGATGATAATGATGCTACTCTAAAATCAGAGTCATCTCCTAGTCAATCTCAGTTGCCTCCCAGCCAAGCGAGTCCTGCTCAGAAGATGCGTTGGGCAGATTATCCCAATAGTCAAGACCCCTATGATTTGAATTCAGACGAAGTCAAAAAGTTACCGACAGTCATCATTCAGATTCCCTGAGTAAAAGTAAAAGTTTCCAGGTGAAAGCAAAAGTAAAAGTCTTCAGTTGCCTTTCAGTTGCCTTTGCCTCTCAGCAGCCCTTGCCTTTACAGTCAAAGCATCCAATGTTACCATAGTTGCTTTTGTTCACCATAGTTGTTTAAACCAGAGTCAGTTCTCTTATTTAAGGAGGCTTTGATCTCAGTTGTATTTAGAATACATTTTTAAGAATGTAGCTTTGAGGGAGTCTCAGAGATAACTTTGAAACTGAAAAAACAAACTTAAGTTACATGTTCTTATTTTCAATGTTTATTTTTTCATTGATAAGATTCATGCATAAGTTGCGTCTCTTCTATTATGTCTGCTTCATTACTATTTCTGCTTCATTACTATTTGTATTAATCCTTCCTGGTTCTAGATCCTTTTTGGTATCAGAGCCGTAAGAGTTGTGAGAGTTGTTCCCATGTCTGCTATTCATCCCCGCCCAAGTGGCTGGTTTAAGATTCTGAGTAGAAGTTTTCAGTTTCTTCTTCCACTTCCTTTTATTTTCCAGGTTATCTGTTGGTTCTCTTTCTTGGTGTCCAAACAATGAGTCCTTTTTCCAAACAGTAAGTCCTGAGATAGGCATGAGCGGTGGGCGCGAGCGAAGGGTGAGAGAATCAGTAGGTTTCTTGTAGAGCAAAGGGTCAGTCTTAGAAGTCCTTGTTTATCTTCTTCTTCAGTAGCCAAACCTAAAAACTTGAGTAGTCATGAGTTGCCTATTTAGAGCCAATTCTTGTAATTTGAGCAGTTCTAGAGCCATTATTAGTCGTCTCCCAGAGAAAGTAAATGAAGAACAAATAGAATATGAGTCTAATAATGAATTAGATTTTAAAGATTTGAATATACCTAGAGTCCCCAGTCAGGACATATATAAGACCAAAGGCATTACATTCCATTCATAATGACCAAAGGGAGTGACAAATGCAGTCTTATAACTATCTGACTCATCTATTTGGATTTGCCAGAAACCACTTTTCATATCAAATTTGGAGAAGACAACTGCTTTTTCTAATCTATTAATTAAGTCTCTTTTATTAGGTATGGGATACCTAATCCATTCTAAGATTGAATTAAGGGGCTTATAATTAATGAGTAATCTTGGGACTCTTTTGAATTTGACTTCTTCTTTAAGGAAATTCAACTGATTATTTTTATTATGAATTAAATGGATTGATTTTGAAACTGAATTCTTTTGAAGGGCTTTTAGATTGTGCAACTCTGGCTTAGTTAGGAACTCAAACTTTACCTTTTCTCCTAAATGGGTAGAGGTAACTCCATCATATTCTACCTGGAAAGGATACAATAAAGCAATAAAGGGAAATCCTAAAATAACTTCATCTATGATATTCTTGACTAAGACAAATGAAGTTTTAAAGAAAATTTTGTTTTGACAAACATGGGCTTTGGGAATTTCATAATTAAGCTGCAACGATTTTCCTGAAGTAGTTCTAAGAGACTTCTTAGACTTTTGATAATATTTGGTAGGAATTAGGCCTTCCTGAATACAATTAAGGTCGGCTCCTAAATAAAATAAGGCAACTGTGTTGAACCCAAAATTATTAACAAATATTGTGACTTTAGAATACCATTTTCTGAAGTTGACTTGTTTTATCAGATTAATGGCATGATCATTGTCTGAAGGTTCACCATCGGAGTTTTCTGGACTTCCTGGTTGGCTTCTAGACTCTGACTTTTCTTTTCCCATTAAATTAATTAAATCTTGTTTTATCTCATAATTTTCGACTTGCAACTTATGACTCATCTGTTTTAATTCAACTATTTCTTTTTTGACTAATTTAACTTCTGAATGCAAATCTTGCAAGGTAACTTCTTTCCTCTTATTAAACCGTTCTAAAGTTGTATTTAGACTGATTTTCTGAGGGACAGACTGGCTTGAACTATGACTTTCTTGACTGATAACTTTAATCAATTTTCTCAAATATTCAGATTTCAACTCTGGATTTTCAATTTTACTAATTAAATCAAGTAACAACTCTTCTTGTTCTTCCTGTTTAGTGAGGACAGAAACAGATTTCAATCAACTACAACATTTATCTTGACAACCAAATTGAACTTTGGGTGAACTGGACAGTGAATCGGACGACTGATAACTGGCTGACTCGGAGCTAGCAATTATGGTTTCGACATCACTTGACTCAGAATTATTTAATTCTAAAGCTTTTATCAACTTGTCTTTTTCTTCATATGTTATTTTGAATTGTTTAATAGTATCTTTCAATTTGCACTCATTAGCATAGTGACCAAACTTTTGACATTTGCAACATTTTACTTTTCATTTGTCAGAATTTTTCCTAAAACGACTATTCTTTTCATTTTTTGGTGCTTTTGACCAACTTTTCTTTGGGTGAAATTAAAACATCCCAATCAATTTGACCGTGATCGTTACTTAGGACTGTGCGAATTTTGTGAGCAAACAGGTTTGGAAGACCATTAATGAATTTTTCTTTCCAAAACGGCTGATTACTATCATCTCTTAGCATGACTCTAGAAATGAAAACATCTTTATACCATCTAAAATCAGACAACTTAGGACAATGGAGATTACTAAGTTGATCATGGATTCTAGCAGTAGTGTTACTAGGGGTTCCAACAAAATGTTCAATTATTGTATAAAACAAAGTGTTGACTCCATCTTCTATACCTTGACCTATTTGTTCGTCAAATATAGGAAGACCGTCTTCATTTTGTCTAACTACATGAATTATGTGATTTTTCAACTCTGTAGTTAAGTGCTTATCCCACCAGTACCGAAGACTACCAGTGAAACCAGTGACAATTAGAGGCACTATTTCTGACTGCCTAAAACTGTGATTGGTGATATAACTATTAGCAACCATGGACATGTGTTGAAGTTCATTAAGAATTTCTTGCTCAGACAGACCATCAATATTCCATTCATACAATTTATCTAAAGATGCTGAAAATTGACTTTGAAAATTTCTTTCTTCAAATTGAGTGTCTGGGGGGTGTTGGCCTAGGATACCAATTTTTGGTTAGGCTTGTAGGACTGGCATGATTAGTTAACCGTTTGACTTTCAACTGGTTGTCTAATTCCAAATTTTTAAAAGCATTTTAAGTTTTTGAAATATTATTAGTTTCTGATTCTAAACTGACTATTGACTCAGTTTCAGACTCAGAAGGATTTACAACTGCAAAAGAATCTAATGTTCTAAGCCGAGATTGTCTAAGTCTGCTACTCATTCCCGCCCAAGTGGCTGGTTTAAGCTTATGAGTAGAAGTTTTCAGTTCTTCCTTCTTCTTCCTTTCATTCTTTGAGTCATTTGTTGATCTCTTTCTAAGGTCTGACCCGTGAGTCCTTGTTCCAAACAGTAAGTCCCCAGGGTAGAAGGCCTGAGCGGTGGGCAGGAGACAGAAAATTGAGAGAGGTTAATAAGTTTCTTGTAGAGTAAACGGTCAGTTTTAGGAATCCCTGTTTATCTTCTTCCTCGGCAGTCGACACCAAACACTTGAGCAGTCATGAGTCGTTTATTTAGAACAAACTCTTGTAGTTCGAGTAGCTCTAAAACCAGTATAAGCCGCCTCCCAGAGATAGTTAATGAAGAACAATTTGAGTATAATTCTAATACTGAAGAACAATTAGACTTTAGAGATTGGAATATACCTAGAGTCCCAAATCAAAAAATTTATAAGAAAAATTGGTCGCTTTCAAGTTTTAATAGCACAACCAATGTAAAAACAGTTGAACAAATATATACTTTAAGTAAGAACATGAAACTTGTCAGTTGCTTAATCTTGAGTCAATTAGAAAACATAAGAAAGACGGTAATAATTTCTTACATATTGGCCTAGATCAAGTTGCAGTTAAGCCCCTAACCAGGTTAGGATTAAAAGCTTCTACTCTCCTTTGTTTGAGTGATGCTAGATTTACTGAGTTTAGTGACAGTACCTTAGGAGTAATTGAGTCAAGTTTATGTAATGGTCCAGTTCATTTTGACTGTTATCCTGATTTTACTGTAAGTCTTAGTGATCCACATGTCTTAAAAACCTTAACTCTGAATATTAAGATTGAAGGTTATAATGTCCTCCCAGGAACCCAACCTTTAGCCTTAGTTTACAGAATTTACTATAAGGTTATAGGCACCAATATGAACTTCCAAGCCCTGAACAAAAGCCCAAAAGACCAAACTGTCCTGATCCAGAGTCACACTTCAGATGCCCAAGTCACAATTCCTTAAACAATTAAGTGGTCATAAGTTACCATTCCAAAAGATTGGACCCTAGTCATTGAAAGTCAGCCTGCTCCAATCCAACGAAGTCTAAACAATTTAGATTACATTCAACAATAATTGGATGGCACAGTAAAGATAAAATTTGAAAATCAGCCTCCACCTAAGTCTAATGTGCAGTTACATCAGTTGCCGACCCCAGGTCAATCTCAAAGGCATGCCCCTACAAGGCATTCCTTTACCGCCTCATCCTCAACTCTAGAACGAGACCTAGAGTTAGAAAAAGCCATGATAGATTTCAAACTTGAGTCCCTGAGAAAATCCTCTCAGGTTAACCAACCTTGCTACGGTAAGGCACCAGTTCAAGATGATAAATCTGAGTCACCTGAATCACCTACACAATTTGACTTTATTGTTGCAGGATTTGCAGTTGATAATAAGATAAGAACGCTTAATAGAAAGTTTGTAATTAATTGGAAAGCCTTAGATTGCCACCTTAGAGCCCCATAAGACCAAAATAGAAGAAATAGTTTTCATCAAGCCTATCCAGATAAAGAAAGCTGCCAACAAATCTTTAATGAATGGAAAGATTACATACGGTCAGCCAAAGTTGAAATTTACTACCTTGATTTCGTAGAAAGCCGATATATCACTAGTGAGTTAAAAACATTGACTAAAGAAAAATGGAAAACGATAGATAAAACACAAGTTGAGTCTAGTCACCCCCCAGTTGACACGATAATAATCAATTACAAAGATATGCCCATTCCGGCCAATCCTTTCAAAACCTTTGAGACTAATGATTCGAATAGAAGATTAATTGAGCAAAATAATTACACCAATCAAAGTCTAGTCGTCATAGGAAAGCAGTTAGACACAATTGAAACAAAGATTGATAAGCTCAAACCTCAAGAAAGCAAGTCTAAACCTAGAATTGAAAAACCAATAGTTCAGTTCCATGATCTTAAGACAAGCCCTACCCTTAAGATCAAACCAACAATAAAGAAAATTGAAGAAATGCTAGAACAATTGACCCCAACCAAGCCCGAGAAATCTGGTGTCAAAGTTTTAGATTCCTTCAAAGTTAATTCCTCTGAGTTTGAGCCAAAGTCAATAACCAGCACTAATTCTGAGACTAGTAATATTTAAAAAATTGAAAATGCTTTTAAAATTTTGGAATTAGAAGTCACACCCAAAGTCAAAAGATTAGATCGCCAAGTTAACCCAACTAGTCTTACCAAAAATTGGTATCCAAGACCAACGCCCCCAGACATCCAATTCGAAGAAAGAAACTTTCAAACCCAGTTTTCAGTTTCTTCCGACAAATTGTATGAATGGAATATTGATGGTCTTTTTGAGTAGGAAATACTTAATAAGCTTCAGCATATGTCCATGGTTGCTAATAGTTATATCACCAATCACAGTTTCAGACAGTCTAAAATTGTACCTCTGTTAGTTACTGGATTTACTGGTACTCTCATATATTGGTGGGATAAGCACCTAACCCCTAAGTCAAAAAATACGATAATACATGCAGTAAAACTTAATGAAGATGGTCTTCCTATATTTGACGAACAATTAGGTCAAGGTATAGAAGATGGAGTCAACACTCTGTTTTACACGATAATTGACCATTTCATTGGAACTCCCAGTAACACTACTGCTAGAATACATGATTAACTCAGTAATCTTAGATGCCCAAAGTTGTCTGATTTCAGATGGTATAAAGATGTCTTCATTTCTAGAGTCATGCTTAGATATGATAATCATCAACCATTCTGGAAAGAAAAATTGGTTAATGGTCTTCCTAATCTGTTTGCCCACAAAATACGTACAACCCTGAGTAATTAGCAAGGTCTTATAGATTGGAATAGTTTGACATATGGCAATATAATAAGCACGATTAATCAAGTTGGTAGCAAAATGTGTGTCAATTTTAAAATTGGTAGACAAATACAGTCCGATAGAAAATCCGCTAAATACGAGTTAGGAAATTTCTGTGAACAGTATGGTCTAACCAGTGTTGCCCCATCTAGAAAACATAAGTCTAGTTACCCCCAGCCATATACGCAAGAATTGTAAGACTCGTGTCTTGGGGAAACAAGAATGGTGAGCAATCCCACATCGCTTGGGGAGGGAAAGGTGAAGTGCTTAAATGTGTAGGCACTTCTCTTCCTAGCACGAGGCCTTTTGGGAGCTCACTGGCTTCGGATTCTTAGGAACTCCGAAGTTAAGCGAGTTGGGGGTTAGAACAATCCCAGGATGGGTCACTGGGAAGTTGCTCGTGAGCTCCCAGAAACAAAACCGTGAGGGCAGAGAGAGGGGCACAAAGCGGACAATATCGTGCTAGGGGAGTCGGGTCGTGACAAATGGTATCAGAGCCGGACCCCGACCGGAAGTGTGTCAGCGAGGACGCTGGGCCCCAAGGGGGGTGGATTGTAAGACCCGTGTCTTGGGGAAACAAGAACGGTGAGCAATCCCACATCGCTCGGGGAGGGAAAGGTGAAGTGCTTAAATGTGTAGGCACTTCTCTTCCTAGCACGAGGCCTTTTGGGAGCTCACTGGCTTCGGATTCTTAGGAACTCCGAAGTTAAGCGAGTTGGGGGCTAGAGCAATCCCAGGATGGGTGACCCACTGGGAAGTTGCTCGTGAGCTCCCAGAAACAAAACCGTGAGGGCAGAGAGGGGGGCCCAAAGCGGACAATATCGTGCTAGGGGAGTCGGGTCGTGACAAATGATTCCGGCAATGTTTCTGCGTTTTCCGGCGAATCCCGAAGGTTCCCGGAGCTGTGCTGGCCGGGGAAGAGAGAGGGAGAGGTGGCGGTTCGAATGGAACCGGTCTCGTCGGACGGGGTGGTCGGAAGTGGTGGCGGTGTGGTGGTTTCTGTTCTGTGAACAGTAACAGGGGAGGGAGAAATCGCAGAGGGAGGAGAAGACGCGGGAGAGAGAGAGAGAGAGAGAGAGAGAGAGAGAGAGAGAGAGTGAGGTAAAAATTGGAAAAAAACTGATTTTTACTCCAAACTTTTCGAAATAATTACGGTTCTGCCACCGAACTTGTTTTGATCGCCAAAACTTCGTTAAATCTCCGATTCAAGCCTACCGCCTGTCTACGGTTTCGTCTCAGTACCACCTACACAACCAAACCACTCGTGGTCCCAAAATCTTCCCGAATAAGAAATTGACCAAAATTACCCTTAACCCAAGAGTAAATTAATATTTTCTCTTAATTAAATTAAAATAGGAAAATAATCGGAGTCGGGGTGTTACAAGAATCGTCATTATTCGCACAGGAAACAATCATTCCGATATAATGATGATAGTAATGAGGTTTATAAGAAAAAGAAATTTCACCCCAAGAAAAAGTGGTCAAAAGCACCGAAAAGTAGTCGCTTTAAGAAAAATTCAAACAAAAGCAAAGTTAAATGTTTTAAATGTCAAAAGTTTGGTCATTATGCCTCTGAGTGCAAAGTAAAAGACACTATTAAACAGTTGAAGATCACGGATGAAGAAAAAGACAAGTTGATTGAAGTTTTAGAATTGCGAAACTCTGAATCAAGTGAAGTTGAAACAATAGTTGCCAGCTCTGAGTCTGAAACCTACCAGTCTTCAAACCCCCAATCCAGTTCTCCCCGAGTCTAATTTGGTTGCAAAGATAAATGTTGTAATAGATTAGAATCTATTTCTGTTCATACTAAACAGAAAGAACAAGAAGAGTTGTTAATAGATCTAATTAGTAAAGTTGAAAATCCTGAGTTGAAATCTGAGTATTTAAAGAAACTAAGGAAAGTTATAAGTCAAGAAAGCCCGAGTAAGTCCACTCCTCAGCCAATAAGTTTAAATACTTCTTTAGAAAAGTTTAATTGTAAGAAAGAAGTTACCTTACAAGATCTGCAATTAGAAGTCAAATTAGTAAAAAAGGACATAGTTGAATTAAAACAAATAAGTCACCAGTTGCAAGCCGAAAATTATGCAATTAAGCAAGATCTAGTTGATTTAAGAGAAAAAGAAAGTTCTGAGTCTAGAAGCCAGCCTGAGAGTCCAAATAACTATGATGATGAGCCTTCAAACAAAGAAAAATCCATTAGCCTAATAAGACAAGTCCACTTTAGAAAATGGTATTCTAAAGTCACGATATTTGTAAACAATTTTGAATTCAGTACAGTTGCTTTATTTGACTCAAGAGCCCATCTTAATTGTATCCAGGAAGGTCTAATCCCTACTAAGTATTATAAGAAGTCAAGAGAAACCTTAAGCACTGCTTCAGGAAAATCACTCCAGCTGAACTATGAGCTGCCAAAAGCCCATGTTTGTCAAAACAAAGTTTGTTTTAAGACCTCATTCGTCCTAGTCAAAAATATTACTGACGAAGTCATCGTAGGATTACCTTCCATCGCCTTGTTATACCCTTTCCAGGTAGAATATGACGGTGTTAATTCCATCCATTTAGGAGAAAAAGTCAAGTTTGAGTTTCTGTCTAAACCAGAGTTGCATAACCTGAAAGCCCTCCAAAATAATTCTGTTTCAAAAACAATTGCTTTAATAAATAACAAGCATAAGCAAGTAACTTCCCTTAAAGAAGAAGTTAAATTCAAAAGAATTGAACAACAGCTTAAAAATGAGTCCTTACTGTTGCAAATTCAACACTTTGAGAATAAACTGAAAAATGAAATTTGTTCTGATTTGCCTAATGCTTTTTGGTATAGGAAACAACATGTTGTTAGTCTTCCTTATGTCAAAACCTTTAGTGAAAAAATATTCCTACTAAAGCCAGACCAATTCAGATGAGTCAAGAAATAATGGAATTTTGTAAGAAAGAAATTCATGAGTTGCTGCAAAAGAAAATAATTCGCAAAAGTAAATCCCCTTGATCTTGCCCTGCTTTGTATGTCCAGAAAAATGCTGAATTAGAAAGAGGAGTCCCAAGATTAGTTATCAATTATAAGCTCCTTAATTCGGTCTTAGAATGGATTAGGTACCCCATACCTAACAAACGAGACTTAATTAACCGATTAGATAAAGCAGTTATCTTTTCCAAGTTCGACATGAAGAGTGGTTTCTGGCAAATCCAAATAGAGGAGTCAGATAGATATAAGACGACATTTGTCACCCCTTTTGGTCATTATGAATGGAATGTAATGCCTTTTGGATTGAAAAATGCACCCAGTGAGTTTCAAAATATTATGAATGAAATCTTTAATCCCTATAGCCATTTCTCAATTGTCTATATTGATGATGTTCTAATCTTTTCCCAGTCCTAGGAACATCATTGGAAGCATTTGCATAAGTTCCTCCAAATTGTCAAAACTAATGGTTTAGTTGTTTCTGCTAGAAAGATCAAGTTGTTTCAAACTAATGTTTGATTTCTTGGTTTCAATATCTGCCAATCACATATTCAGCCAATAGATCGAGTTATCCAGTTTGCTGATAAATTTCCTGATCAAATCCTTGATATAAGTTAACTTTAGAGATTTTTAGGATCTCTAAATTATGTTTATGATTTTTATCAAAACCTGAGAAAACAGTGTAAGCCTTTGTTTGATAGGCTGCAGAGTAATCCTCCTCCTTGGTCGAACACTCACACTGAAATTGTCAAACAGATCAAAGTTCATGTGAAGACACTCCTCTATCTTGGTATTCCTTCAGTAAATTCTTTCAAAATAGTTGAAACTGATGCCTCTAACATAGGTTATGGTGGCATTCTTAAGCAAAGAGTCAGTCCAAACTCTCCAGAACAAATCATTCGTTTCCATTCTGGAATTTGGACCCAGTCGCAATATAATTATAGTACTATTAAAAAAGAAATATTAGCTATTTTACTATGCATTAGTAAATTCCAAGATGATTTGCTTAATCAAAAGTTTTTAATACGAGTTGACTGTAAGTTTGCAAAACATGTTTTAGAAAAGAATGTTCAAAACATTGCATCTAAACAGATTTTTGCATGATGGCAAAACATTTTAAGTATATTTGATTTTGATATTGAATATTTGAGAGGTAGTGAGAATTCAATCCCTGATTTTCTTACTCGAGAATTCCTGCAGGATGTACAATGGCACCCAAAAAGGATAAACAAAAAGAAACAGCTAATCAACCCAAGTCCTCCCAGTCCAAGTCATCCCAGTCGCTTCGAATCCTCCCTACATCCATGAGTCAAGTTAAGCCAGAGTTGCCTAAACAGTTGATTCCTTTCCCAGGTCATACTTCAATCTCAGTTGCTACCCCAATATCAGTTGCCAACAGATTCTCCAATCTTGGTTCTACAGTAGGACAAATCTGCCCAAGTTATCAGTCGACTCTGATCTCCAGTTATGATCCTTTCTCAGTTGATCCCTCAGTTGGCCCTTCAGTTGCTTTCAAAAAGACATCCCCTTATTTTCCCAAAAGTAACTCTCACTTGTTTGTCATTGAGCCCAATTATGATGTTCATTCATATCCAATTGCCACAACCAAACACTATTTCCCTCCAGGATTTCACTATATGCCTCCAAGTCCTTACAAGTCCCTCAAGTATTATAGAGATATACTACTTGAAACTCAATCAGTTGAAATTAAGCCGATAAAGGATCGTGATCACCCTGAGACCATCCTTTATCATTTATATCCACAAAATTATGAGTCAAGAGTCTTTCAGTAGCCACCCTTATGAATTGTAAACCCTCCAGTCAAAATTGCAGTATAATTACTCTGATTATATTGAAGCCTGGTATTCTATTCTCCTCCATCAATTTGGCGATTTTAGTCATTCCTGATTTATTAATTTTGACAATAAGTTCAAATGTTCTTTTCCTTGCTGGTTCCTCCACTGATGGGAAAAACATGGCCCAGTCGATGAAATTCTGCCTGTTTCAATCCATGAGTTAATTCGCCATTTCACCAAGAAAGCCAAATTCTCCAAATTTGATATATTCTTCCCCAAACAGTTGCTTTTCATTGCCAGATACAAAGTTCCTTGGATCCTCAAATAGTCCTACAGGGTTACCATGGATACCAGAATATTTGCCCGACAATTTTCTGTTAAATGGTGGGATAAGTTCGAAGTTGACAGAATTGCTAAATACGTCTACAATGATTTGCCCCATGATTCTGCTCCGCCTCCAACTTCCCCCACTGGTTCAACCAAATCTTCCCTTTCAGTCGAGGGAAAATCAAAGTCTGACCTACAGGAGATTGCTTGCCAGTTGATAATTCAAGCTTCCCAAATGGATGATGATGAGGAGAATGACAATGACAATGACTCTTCTTCTTCGTCCAGTTGCCAGCCCATGCAGAGCCCTGCTAAGCCTAAAAGTTGGTACGAAGATAGTCAAGACCCCTATGATGCCTATGATTTGAATTCTGATTAGGCTCCTAGTTGCTGACACAATAATTGCCCCGAAGAATGTGATTGAAAGCATCTTGTTAAAGCAGCCGCCCTGCTTTCTTGTGCCTCTACAGTCAATATTCCCCGACACTTCACCCTGAGTGAAAGCAAAAGTTGTTGAGTAAAAGTTATTCCTTCAAAAAGACAAAATTGAAAGTTGAATTGGGTTGTCCCCATGCCTCCACAGTTGCCTCCACAGTTGAATCATTATCAGAATTGCTTTCGGTTACCAAAGTTTCTTTCCAAGTTACCTTAGTTGCTTTTGTTTACCATGGTTACTTTCCACAGTTGTCTTTGCTTATTTAAGTTAGCTTTGGCCTCAATTGTAATCAGGCTACATTTTCATTTCAGTTTTTTAAAGATTTCCTCTGAAATCCTTTTGGAGAAATCATCTTTGTAAACACTGAGTGTTCTTGTACCTGAACCGAAGAGATTTCAGCAGTTCTTATCTGAACCTCTTGTGAGTATAATAAAAGTTGTATTTTGAAAAGACAAACATGGCATGCAAAATCATTGTCAAAATAATGCTTATAAAAAAAAATACTCAAAATAGAGATATTTCAAAATACAACTTTTATTTATACTCACAAGAGGTTCAGACAAGAACTGCTGAAATCTCTTCAGTTCAGTTACAAGAACACTCAGTGTTTACAAAGATGATTTCTCCAAAGGATTTCAGAGGAAATCTTTAAAAAACTGAAATGAAAATGTAGCCTGATTACAACTGAGGCCTAAGCTAACTTAAATAAGCAAAGACAACTGTGGAAAGTAACCATGGTAAACAAAAGCAACTAAGGTAACTTGGAAAGAAACTTTGGCAACCGAAAGCAATTCTGATAATGATTCAACTGTGGAGGCAACTGTGGAGGCATGGGGACAACCCAATTCAACTTTCAATTTTGTCTTTTTGAAGGAATAACTTTTACTCAGCAACTTTTGCTTTCACTCAGGGTGAAGTGTCGGGGAATATTGACTGTAGAGGCACAAGAAAGCAGGGCGGCTGCTTTAACAAGATGCTTTCAATCACATTCTTCGGGGCAATTATTGTGTCAGCAACTAGGAGCCTAATCAGAATTCAAATCATAGGCATCATAGGGGTCTTGACTATCTTTGTACCAACTTTTAGGCTTAGCAGGGCTCTGCATGGGCTGGCAACTGGACGAAGAAGGAGAGTCATTGTCATTGCCATTCTCCTCATCATCATCCATTTAGGAAGCTTGAATTATCAACTGGCGAGCAATCTCTTGTAGGTCAGACTTTGATTTTACCTCGACTGAAAGGGAAGATTTGGTTGAACCAGTGGGGGAAGTTGGAGGCGGAGCAGAATCATGGGGCAAATCATTGTAGACGTATTTAGCAATTCTGTCAACTTCGAACTTATCCCACCATTTAACAGAAAATTGTCGGGCAAATATTCTGGTATCCTTGGTAACCCTGTAGGACCATTTGAGGATCCAAGGAACTTTGTATATGGCAATGAAAAGCAACTGTTTGGGGAAGAATATATCAAATTTGGAGAATTTGGCTTTCTTGGTGAAATGGCGAATTAACTCATGGATTGAAACAGACAGAATTTCATCGACTGGGCCATGTTTTTCCCACCAGTGGAGGAACCAGCAAGGAAAAGAACATTTGAACTTATTGTCAAAATTAATAAATCAAGAATGACTAAAATCCCCAAATTGATGGAGGAGAATAGAATACCAGGCTTCAATATAATCAGCGTAATTATACTGCAATTTTGACTGGAGGGTTTACAATTCATAAGGGTGGCTACTGAAAGACTCTTGACTCATAATTTTGTGGATATACATGGAATGATAAAGGATGGTCTCAGGGTGATCACGATCCTTTATCGGCTTAATTTCAACTGATTGAGTTTCAAGTAGTATATCTCTATAATACTTGAGGGACTTGTAAGGACTTGGAGGCATATAGTGAAATCCTGGAGGAAAATAGTGTTTGGCTATGGCAATTGGATATGAATGAACATCATAATTGGGCTCAATGGCAAACAAATGAGAGTTACTTTTGGACAAATAAGGGGATGTCTTTTTGAAAGCAACTGAAGGGCCAACTGAGGGATCAACTGAGAAAGGATCATAACTAGAGATCAGGGTCGACTGATAACTTGGGCGGATTTGTCCTACTATAGAACTAAGACTGGAGAATCTGTTGGCAACTGATATTGGGGTAGCAACTGAGATTGAAGTGTGACCTAGGAAAGGAATCAACTGTTTAGGCAACTCTGGCTTGACTTGACTCATGGATGGAGGGAGGATTCGAAGCGACTGGGATGACTTGGACTGGGAGGATTTGGGTTGATTGGCTGTTTCTTTTTGTTTATCCTTTTTGGGTGCCATTGTGCATCATGCAGGAATTCTCGAGTAAGAAAATCAGGGATTGAATTCTCACTACCTCTCAAATATTCAATATCAAAATCAAATATACTTAAAATGCTTTGCCATCATGCAAAAATCTGTTTAGATGCAATGTTTTGAACATCTTTTTCTAAAACATGTTTTGCAAACTTACAGTCAACTCGTATTAAAAACTTTTGATTAAGCAAATCATCTTGGAATTTACTAATGCATAGTACAATAGCTAATATTTCTTTTTAATAGTACTATAATTATATTGCGACTGGGTCCAAATTCCAGAATGGAAACGAATGATTTGTTCTGGAGAGATTGGACTGACTCTTTGCTTAAGAATGCCACCATAACCTATGTTAGAGGCATCAGTTTCAACTATTTTGAAAGAATTTACTGAAGGAATACTAAGACAAGGGAGTGTCTTGACATGAACTTTGATCTGTTTGACAATTTCAGTGTGAGTGTTCGACCAAGGAGGAGGATTACTCTGCAGCCTATCAAGCAAAGGCTTACACTATTTTCTCAGGTTTTGATAAAAATCAGAAACATAATTTAGAGATCCTAAAAATCTCTGAAGTTGACTTTTATCAAGGATTTGATCAGGAAATTTATCAGCAAACTAGATAACTCGATCTATTGGCTGAATCTGTGACTGGCAGATATTGAAACCAAGAAATTGAACATTAGTTTGAAGGAACTAAACCATTAGTTTTGACAATTTGGAGGAACTTATGCAAATGCTTCCAATGCTGTTGTAAGGACTGATAAAAGATTAGAACATCATCAATATAGACAATTGAGAAATGGCTATAGGGATTAAAGATTTCATTCATAATATTTTGAAACTCACTGGGTGCATTTTTCAATCCAAAAGGCATTACATTCCATTCATAATGACCAAAGGGGTGACAAATGCCGTCTTATATCTATCTGACTCCTCTATTTGGATTTGCCAGAAACCACTCTTCATGTTGAACTTGGAAAAGATAACTGCTTTATCTAATCCGTTAATTAAGTCTCGTTTGTTAGGTATGGGGTACCTAATCCATTCTAAGACCGAATTAAGGGCTTATAATTGATAACTAATCTTGGGACTCCTCTTTCTAATTCAGTATTTTTCTGGACATAGAAAGCAGGGCAAGATCAAGGGGATTTACTTTTGCGAATTATTTTCTTTTGCAGCAACTCATGAATTTCTTTCTTACAAAATTCCATTATTTCTTGACTCATCTAAATTGGCCTGGCTTTAGTAGGAATATTTTTTTCACTAAAGGTTTTGACATAAGGAAGACTAACAACATGTTGTTTCCTATACCAAAAAGCATTAAGCAAATCAGAACAAATTTCATTTTTTAGTTTATTCTCAAAGTGTTGAATTTGCAGCTGTAAGGACTCATTTTTAAGCTGTTGTTCAATTCTTTTGAATTTAACTTCTTCTTTAAGGGAAGTTACCTGCTTATGCTTGTTATTTATTAAAGCAATTGTTTTTTAAACAGAATTCTTTTGGAGGGCTTTCAGGTTATGCAACTCTGGTTTAGACAGAAACTCAAACTTGACTTTTTCTCCTAAATGGATGGAATTAACACCGTCATATTCTACCTGGAAAGGGTATAACAGGGCGATGGAAGGTAATCCTACGATGACTTCGTCAGTAATATTTTTGACTAGGACGAATGAGGTCTTAAAACAAACTTTGTTTTGACAAACATGGGCTTTTGGCAGCTCATAGTTCAGCTTGAGTGATTTTCCTGAAGCAGTGCTTAAGGTTTCTCTTGACTTCTTATAATACTTAGTAGGGATTAGACCTTCCTGGATACAATTAAGGTCAGCTCTTGAGTCAAATAAAGCAACTGTATTGAATCCAAAATTGTTTACAAATATCGTGACTTTAGAATACCATTTTCTAAAGTGGACTTGTCTTATTAGGCTAATGGATTTTTCTTTGTTTGAGGGCTCATCATCATAGTTATTTGGACTCTCAGGCTGGCTTCTAGACTCAGAACTTTCTTTTTCTCTTAAATCAACTAGATCTTGCTTAATTGCATAATTTTCGGCTTGCAACTGGTGAGTTATTTGTTTTAATTCAACTATGTCCTTTTTTACTTATTTGACTTCTAATTGCAGATCTTGTAAGGTAACTTCTTTCTTACAATTAAACTTTTCTAAAGTAGTATTTAAACTTATTGGCTGAGGAGTGGACTTACTCGGGCTTTCTTGACTTATAACTTTCCTTAGTTTCTTTAAATACTCAGATTTCAACTCCGGATTTTTAACTTTACTAATTAGATCTATTAACAACTCTTCTTGTTCTTTCTGTTTAGTATGAACAGAAATAGATTCTAATCTATTACAACATTTATCTTTGCAACCAAATTAGACTCGGGGAGAACTAGATTGGGGGTCTAAAGACTGGTAGGTTTCAGACTCAGAGCTGGCAACTATTGTTTCAACTTCACTTGATTCAGAGTTTCGCAACTCTAAAACTTCAATCAACTTGTCTTTTTCTTCATCCGTGATCTTCAACTGTTTAATAGTGTCTTTTACTTTGCACTCAGAGGCATAATGACCAAACTTTTGACATTTAAAACATTTAACTTTGCTTTTGTTTGAATTTTTCTTAAAGCGACTACTTTTCGGTGCTTTTGACAACTTTTTCTTGGGGTAAAATTTCTTTTTCTTATAAAACTCATTACTATCATCATTATGTCGAAATGATTGTTTCCTGCGTGAATAATGACGATTCTTGCGTATATGGCTGGGGTAACTAGACTTATGTTTTCTAGATGGGGGAACACTAGTTAGACCATACTGTTCACAGAAATTTCCTAACTCATATTTAGCGGATTTTCTATCGGACTGTATTTGTCTACCAATTTTAAAATCGACACACATTTTCCTACCAACTTGATTAATCGTGCTTATTATATTGCCATATGTCAAACTATTCCAATCTATATGACCTTGCTAATTAGGAAGACCACGAATTTTCTTTCCAGAATGGTTGATCACTATCATCTCTATGCATGACTCTAGAAATGAAGACATCTTTATACCATCTGAAATCAAACAACTTTGGGCATCTAAGATTACTGAGTTAATCATGTATTCTAGCAGTAGGGTTACTGGGAGTTCCATTGAAATGGTCAATTATCGTGTAAAACAGAGTGTTGACTCCATCTTCTATACCTTGACCTAATTGTTCGTCAAATATAGGAAGACCATCTTCATTAAGTTTTACTGCATGTATTATCGTATTTTTTGACTCAGGGGTTAGGTGCTTATCCCACCAATATATGAGAGTACCAGCAAATCCAGTAACTAACAGAGGTACAATTTCAGACTGTCTGAAACTGTGATTGGTGATATAACTATTAGCAACCATGGACATATGCTGAAGCTTATTAAGGATTTCCTGCTCAAAAAGACCATCAATATTCCATTCATACAATTTATCGGAAGAAACTGAAAACTGGGTTTGAAAGTTTCTTTCTTCGAATTGGATGTCTGGGCGTTGGTCTTGGATACCAATTTTTGGTAAGACTAGTTGGGTTAACTTGGCGATCAAATCTTTTGACTTTGGGTGTGACTTCTAATTCCAAATTTTTAAAAGCATTTTCAATTTTTTAAATATTACTAGTCTCAGAATTAGTGCTGGTTATTGACTCTGGCTCAAACTCAGAGGAATTAACTTTGAAGGAATCTAAAACTTTGACACCATATTTCTCAGGCTTGGTTGGGGTCAATTGTTCTAGCATTTCTTCAATTTTCTTTATTGTTGGTTTGATCTTAAGGGTAGGGCTTGTCTTAAGATCATGGAATTGAACTATTGGTTTTTCAATTCTGGGTTTAGACTTGCTTTCTTGAGGTTTGAGCTTATCAATCTTTGTTTCAATTGTGTCTAACTGCTTTCCTATGACGACTAGACTTTGATTGGTGTAATTATTTTGCTCAATTAATCTTCTATTCGAATCATTAGTCTCAAAGGTTTTGAAAGGACTGGCCGGAATGGGCATATCTTTGTAATTGATTATTATCGTGTCAACTGGGGGGTGACTAGACTCAACTTGTGTTTTATCTATCGTTTTCCATTTTTCTTTAGTCAATGTTTTTAACTCACTAGTCATATATTGGCTTTCTACGAAATCAAGGTAGTAAATTTCAACTTTGGCTGACCGTATGTAATCTTTCCATTCATTAAAGATTGTTGGCGGCTTTCTTTATCTGGATAGGCTTGATGAAAACTATTTCTTCTATTTGGTCTTCTGGGGCTCTAAGGTGGCAATCTAAGGCTTTCCAATTAATTACAAACTTTCTATTAAGCGTTCTTATCTTATTATCAACTGCAAATCCTACGACAATAAAGTCAGATTGTGTAGGTGACTCATGTGACTCAGATTTATCATCTTGAACTGGTGCCTTACCGTAGCAAGGTTGGTTAACCTGAGAGGATTTTCTCAGGGACTCAAGTTTGAAATCTATCATGGCTTTTTCTAACTCTAGGTCTCGTTCTAGAGTTGAGGATGAGGCGGTAAAGGAATGCCTTGTAGGGGCATGCCTTTGAGATTGACCTGGGGTCGGCAACTGATGTAACTGCACATTAGACTTAGGTGGAGGCTGATTTTCAAATTTTATCTTTACTGTGCCATCCAAGTATTGGTGAATGTAATCTAAATTGTTTAGACTTCGTTGGATTGGTGCAGGCTCACTTTCAGTGACTAGGGTCCAATCTTTTGGAAGGGTAACTTCTGACCACTTAATGTTTGAGGAATTGTGACTTGGGCATCTGAAATGTGACTCTGGATCAAGACAGTTTGGTCTTTTGGGCTTTTGTTCAGGGCTTGGAAGTTCATATTGGTGCCTATAACCTTATAGTAAATTCTGTAAACTAAGGC